AAAAAGTCAAAATATCTTAAAATAAAATAATTTAACCTTCTCTCTCTCTTTTTTCTCTCTCTCACTTTCTCTGTCTTTTTTTTTCTCTCTCTCTCTTTTCATCCGCCGAAAAACAACTTCAGCAGTTTTTTTTTTTTTTTTTTTTGAATTTATAGTCATTCAAATACTCTTTATATTTTGCACTTTTCTTCTTCCACTTTTTCTCTCTCTCTCTCTCTCAGTTCTTTATTTTTTTTTTGTCAATGTAATGGTATTTTAAAAATCGATTCCAAGTAACAATTTATTCGTTTTATTCGTGAGGGGGGAGGAAGGAGGGGTGAGGGGCAGGGAGAGGTATAACAGTTACAAAATTGTTCTCCAGATTTTTTTCATTTAAAAAAAAAAAAAATTTCTAAAAGCTTTTTTTTCCCCTTCTCTCTCTTTCTTCTCCAGGAGTACTCATTCGATTTAAACTTATTCCAGAAAATAAAAAAAGAAACTTTTAGAATTATTCCCTCGCATAAATGACAATAATAATAATAATAATAATGATGATTTTACTTCACTTTTTTTTACGACGAAATGATTTTGATTTTTTTTTCCAAAAAATTTTATTATTTTTATTGATGAAAGAGGATGGAGGGGGAAAAGACGAGAAGAAGGGGAGGGGGTATAGATAAAGATAAGGGTTATCACATTCTGGTCATGACTTTAAATTATATTTTCATTTACGTTTTTTGACATTTTAATTTTATTTTCATTTCATCCCTTTTTCAATCAAAATTAAGGTAACGACAACGTAAAAAAAAAAAAAAGTTTTCTACGCCCTTCTGGAGATAATCATTATCAGTGTAAGAGATAAAAATTAAATAATTAAATGTGGACGGACGAATGGAAGTGTGGGAGGGGGTAAGTGATGAAGTTAAAAAAAATTTAATTTTTTAACGGGGAGAAAGGGAAGGGAAAGTCAAATCCAGATGGAGTACGTAGTTTAAGTTTATTAAAAATCATGACTGGTTAAACCTTTTTCCTAAAAGTTT